TAATAATAATAATAATAATAGTTCGGGCTCAAGGGAGACAGAAAGCGCCTGGCATTGGTCAGACCAAGCCAATCACACACAGTCATCAACTGCAACATCCTCAAGCAACAGGTCAACAGCAAGTGCAGAAATGTGCAGCAAAGCAGAGGGACTATCAGCCACATGCATTTCATAGATTTAATAGATTTTCTTCTACTCTAGTCTCTCCCAGAGAACCTCTACAGTCAGGTCTCGACAATTTTCCATGTCACGGTGTTAAGGGTTGGTGGCTTGGATAGATTATCTATATACGTCAGTATAGGCGGCTGGTTTCTCCAATGTTGTCTAGCTTGCTCAACAGGACCTGCACTGATTTCGTACTACTAATCTGATAGCTTTGTTCCACAAATTCCACTGATCTATGTACAAATGAGTATTTCCTGATGTTCAATCTCGTTCTGTTTTGTAGTTGTAGTGCATGTCCCGCGTTACGAGATTACACCTGTCCTGTTGTAATTTTGAAGTCCGAACACTTCAAAGATCATATTTACGGGTCAGTATTTTATATCATCTCTTATGTATCACCCCTCACTCGCCTATAGGCTAGAGTTGGCGAGCCCTGAGTTGCCGGAGACGCATCTCTATGTTAAGAGAAATCTGCCATTACCAGGGATTTGCTTGGTCCACGGCCTCTGAACATTTTCGAATGCTTTCTATGTGTTTCACTAGATGGGGAGCCATATCTGATTTGCGTATCGCAGTGTGACGGCGTACAAGGACCAGTGTATAATAATTTAAAAGTTTTCACATCCATGTATTCCATAGTGCGCCTAATCAGCCCCATGATCGAGTTAGCTTTGTTAACTTTTTCAGTAATATGTTTATCAAAAGCTAGTTTGTTGTCAATGGTGACACCAATATCCTTTTCTTCTTCAGAGTACTTCAAGTTTGTTCCGTCCTCCTTGAGCTTGTAGTTAAATTTGTCTAGTCTACTTTTCCCTATTCGCATGACCTTGCACTTGTCGGGGTGGAAACACAGCATCCAACAGTCCGTCCATTTCTGCATTTTGTACAAGTCATCTTGCAAAAGCTCACAATCCCCGACTTCCCTGATAGCCCTTGAGATCTTTGTATCATCAGCGAATAAGTAGATGGACGTACCCTCCTGTGTTACCTCTGGTAAGTCATTGATGTATACGACGAATAGGATCGAGCCAAGCACTGACCCCTGGGGAATACCACTTGTCACCTCTTTCCACTCGGACATCTCTCCTTTCACCACTACTCGTTGCTTACGTCCTAGTAGGAAAGCTCTGATCCACGAAGTGAATGGTTCCAGTATTCCGTACATTCCCATCTTATGTATGAGGCGCTGGTGGGGCACCTTATCAAAAGCTTTCATGAAGTCACAGTAAATTACATCCACACAGCCTCCCTCATCCAAGATTTCTGTCCAATTTTCTAGTACTTGTATCAGCTCAAGAACAGTAGACCGCCCACTGATAAATCCAAATTGTTTCCTACTGAACAGTTTATTACTTTTCATATGGTTAACAATGCTCTCTCGAATAATAGTCTCTATAACCTTACACGTTATGCATGTCAGACTGACTGGTCTATAATTCCCTGCCACCTTCCTTTCTCCTTTCTTGAAGATTGCTGTTACATTAGCGCACTTCCACTCCTGTGGTATCTGCTGGGTTTGTATAGACGCATTAAAAATATCTGATAGTGGTTTGCTGATCACTGTACGTAATTCCTTCAGGACTCGGGGGTGGATGTTGTCAGGGCCTGGTGATTTGGAAGTTTTGAGTTTCTCTAGCACTCTCTCTACTATTTCGGGTGTAATGGTTATTGAGTCTAGTTTAGTCTCTGCTTTTAGTGTTATAGCTGGAAAGTCGCCCTCGGGCTCCAATGTAAATACCGACGAGAAATAGTCTGCTAGCACTTCTGCCTTCTCCTTATCACTACCTGTAGTATCTTTTTGCTCGTTGGTGTACAAGTCGGGAACACTAACACTGGTCTTTGTTTTTGTCTGAACATATCTCCAGAACTTCTTGGGGTTTGATTTTGCCTCGTCTGCTATTGCTTTTTCATAATGTTTTGTGCTCTTTCTGGTAATTTTTCTGACCTCGTTCCTTGCTTTACAGTACTTCAAGTACACTTCCTCCTCTCTTGTTTTTAGAAACTTCAACCACAGTCGTTGTTTCCTCTTTACCCTGGTTAGAACCTCCCTACTGAGAGGTATTGCATGCCTCTTATTTCTTTTGCTGTTCGACACTCGTCTCCTTGGCACACATGACATCACAGCCTCGTTTAGTTTTTGACTGAACATAGACCACATAAAGTTCACATTCCCACTGCATGTTGACAATTCACTACTCCAGTCTAGGTCCATGACATATCTCGTAACTTTTCATAGTCTGCCTTGTCATACATGTATCTTAACTTAACTCTGGGCTTCTCTATTATATATGCATTAAAACGGAAACATATCAGCGAATGATCACTTTTACCTTAAGGGGCTTCAATAGCAATATCACTCACCATGCCTTCCTCACTGGAAAATATAAGGTCTAGTGTACTAGGTTTATCTGTTCCTCTACCCCTAGTAGGCTCCAGTATGTGTTGGTACAGATAACAATCTCGCACTGTTTCTAAAAACTGGTAGTTTATACTGTCTGTACCACCGGATACTGTTCCGCTGTCCCAATTTATTTCTGACATATTCAGATCACCTAGGAGGATTACATGAGTGTATCCTATTGCACACACCTCCCTGAATATGCTACACATTTCCCTGAAATTGCCCTCTGTGCAGTTTGGGCTTCTGTATAACCCCCAATTAAAAGTTTATCTTTGGCAGCCAGTTGCAGTTCACAGAAAATCCCCTAGTCAAAGTCATGATTTAATTCACAGGGTGTGTACTTCAAGGTGTTCTTAACATACATGATTATTCCCCTGCCTGGTGATCCCTTACCTATATCGAGTGGTACTCCATATTGAACTCGGATAAGTGAATGTTTCTTGTGAAATACTTCGGTTTAACTTGTTGGACTACTACTATAGATGGATTCCTGTTGTTTATTCTAATTCTAAGTTCTTGTAGCTTCTCTTGTGTTAGCGTATCTACATTTGCGAACATAATCTCCAACAAATTTACACTATTTACATCTCGCCGTCTCTGCATGTCGCTGTTCAGATTCGGGTGAGCTCCTGCAGGGTTATTGTGGTCTTTATGTTTATTTTCCTGACCTGCTAGTCATTTGGGTTGGTTGGGTCCTTCATTTGGACCCAACCTCCTTAGCTTGTGCTATAGGCTTCCTGGTAGTATTTTCTACTGCCTTCTTAGGGTCCTTGACAATCATACCCCTTCTAATTATGTAGTCATTATGGCCCTGTTCTCTTAGCAGTCTTAATTGTTCTCTGAGCTTTTTGCCTTCCTCCTGTTCTTTCCTTGTGAGGTCTGGCGATATGTAAACAGTGTTCCATTCTTCTAGTTCCCTTAGTTCCTTGGCATGTGATAGTATAACTCTCTTCTTCTTGTTATCATCCAGTGCTACCAGTAAGAGTCTGGGTTTGTCACCCGGGTCTTTTTTAGCCCCCAGTCGAATGGTTTTGGTAATTACTACATCGTTCACTTTTAGTGTTTCCATGATTTTCTTGATAACCTTATTGTCATCTTCCTTCCTCATGTTTGGATCCAAACTTTTACTCTCCTCAATGCCAGTGACTATTAGGTTATTCTTTCTCCGTTCCCTGTCATTGTACTCATCGATGATGTTTATTGGATTTTGTCTATCATTTGTTGGCGCGGGGGTTGCTGCCACTGGATTTTTAGTCTCGCTTAAATTTTTTACAATGCTGGCATAAGTCTTAGTGACTTTATCATTCTCCTGTGTGAGTTTATCTTTGAATGACATTAGTTCATTTACCTTTTCTTCAACACTGGCCACAATGCCCATTAATTTCTTCTCCAGACAAGTTGTTATGTCCGGTCTCTGGGTGTCATCTTTGCTACTGCTATTGGACCTCTTATCAATACATTGTTTGACAACTGGTTGACATGCTTTACAATAGAAGCTGATTGCATTATAATGTTGATTGTCCCTTCTCCACTCCCTCTCACACTCTCTCTTCCTTTCTCCCTCCTCCACTCTCTCTCACACTCTCTCTTCCTTTCTTCCTCCTCCACTCTCTCTTCCTTTGTCCCTCCTCCACTCTCTCTCGCACACTCTCTTTCTTTGTCCCTCCTCCACTCTCTCTCGCACTCTCTCTTCTTTTCTCCCTCCCCCACTCTCTCTCACATTCACTTGCTCTCGGTCTCTCGTTATGTCCTCCCTTCTGTGTTCGCAGTGACTCCGACGGCGTGCCAATGAGTCACACGGACGGAGAGACGACCGACGATGATGACGACGACGATGACGATGACCGACCGTCTAGCGACGGCGTCCGCTCCGCCACGAGCAAACCCAGTCGCGCAAAGATCGCCAGCGTCAGCGTCGGCGACCGTCGGCCCGACTCCGTCACGACGCCGCCCAGCGTCGGCTCTCCGCGACGCAAAAGAGGGACGCACGAACTGACGCTGACGTCGCTGACGCCGTTGAGTGGCGCTCGCGTGCAGCGCGCGACGTCGCCGTACGAGCGGACGACAAGACTCGCCGACAACGACGGCAGCAGCAGCAGCAGCGGGGATGCTGCGGCGCGGCGGAGCGTGTTCAACAGTGAAGCCATCGCTAGCGAGATCTTCCTCACGGCGAAATTCGCTTTCATGGAGAAGTTGGTAAGTGTCGCAGCAGAGCCGCCGATAACTCGCTGTTATTCAGAAGGTGTTTCAGCGGGCGCGAGTTTCATCACTTGCGCGCGTACACGGACGTGCACTCATCCATACGGTGAGCAGTGGCGGAGGGAGAGCGGGAGAGGGTTTTCAGTCAGTGCGGGCAGGAGGGGGCAGGAGAGACGATGTGAACGTATTCATGGCTTCCGTTCGTAGCCTGTCGGTTGTGCTGTCGGTTGTGCTGTCGGTTGTGCTGTCGGTTGTGCTGTCGGTTGTGCTGTCGGTTGTGCTGTCGGTTGTGCTGTCGGTTGTTTCTTAAGAACTTTTCAGGAGTGATTTTCTTTAGAAGACTCATGTCCGTGCAACATTATAATGTTGAAATAATTTACGAAGACTTATCCGGATACTTCAATACTTGTGCGCAATGTTCAATGCTGTGAAATGTTATAATATAATATTATATATAAGTATATATATGTTTATGTCTTCTGGTGGCTAGAATATAATTGTCATAAATTACATTCGGTAGCAGCCGTGCAAGTGCAGTCAGACAACACAGTACACAGAATACTATATCTGTTAATCTTCGTCCCGGCAGCCGCCCCGGTAACACTCAAAGACGAGATAGATAGCTGTGTTAGTTTGTACAGGGAAGTTACAACACTCACACTGTGCTCTCTGGCGTACCGCTAAAAAAAAAATTATTTTTTATTTTTATTTTTTATTATATATAGTGAATTTATAGTAGATTTTTTTTTACGGTGTTTGTTTGTTATACGATAGTAGTCGACCCTGATGATTCAATGGCTAAATAGTTAATCTCACTGTTTCACCTGTGATGCTTAAGTTACAAGTGTAAACATTAAACTGTGACTCAGACTCCGCGACTGTAAACAACGAAGTTGAAAATGGCGGGAAAATTTCGCCTATGCTTTAGACATTTCCAGCTTAATTGTTAACTAATTATGTAAATAGTGATTTTACTTAGACTAGGGATGTTTTAGCTATAGAGTATAGGTTTAGTAGATAAGTTTCTATATAGTGTATTACTGATATAGTGCAGTAACTAAGCGAAGTAGATGAGATACCATCTGTTAACTATTCAAATATAAATCTATATTACGAACTGTAACCTACCACGGATTATTCATGAGCAGTGGCAATAGTTTAGGAGCATAACTAAACAAAATTTATAAAGATCAAAATGCTTTCGACGAACACAAATCTGTCTACATGACGTTATATAGATGGGTTCTTTATCTCTTTACTAAAAAACTATCTCTTTACTAAAAAAAAATAAAATAAAAAATAAAATAATAATCTCCGGATGCACAGTGCTGGCCCCAACCGAGTACATAAATCGCCATAACAAGGTAGCCAGCTATCTGCACTGGTCAATCTGCAGTGAATTTGGTGAGCAAGTACCTGACAAGTGGTATGAACATACTCCGAGACCAGTTACCAACATCGGAGATACTACCATAATGTGGGATATTGCGGTGCAGACAGATCGCACGATACCTGCAAACCGCCCTGATATAGTGCTCCACAACAGGAAAGAAAAACGATGCCTGTTGATTGACGTAGCCGTACCAGATGATTCTAACATCATGGTGAAAGAAAGAGACACCACGTAGACACTCACCAAGTACAAAGATCTGGAGATCGAAATTAGGAGGATGTGGAATACTAAGACGGAATTGTACAGTGGTGGTTCGGAGCCTTGGCTCTCTAAGAATGTTTTTTATCTTTTATCTATATCGTGCTTTCTCCTTCATCCGTTTTCCGTTGAGAAGAACCTTAAGGAACTTCCTGGCCAACACTACTGCCCAGTAAATGGTGACAGAAAACATCGCATTCTACTTGGAAACAGTCAGCACACTCTCTGCGAAAAATTCTGGATTGAATCCCTATGTCCCAGGTTGGGACACGGTCAACCCAGAAGCCACCGGCTAATGTCGTGATCCACTTTGGAAATAATAATAATAACAGAAATCGTCGAGCGGTGATAAAGAGTGAAAATAATGACGATAAACGGGAGAAATAGAATACACACAGAAGATGCCCGAGGGTCAGCATAAGCCTAGACGATTGTAGATTTTATAGAATATGCACGCAGAGAATTACCATGCATACGACACAATCATTCCATTCTGCACAGACAAAAATAATAGTTTATACACGTATTATAGTCTGGCGTTCGTTCTCTCGCAATATTAGCCATTGCCGCTGATAGATGACGCCGGAATAAGCCTTTAGGTCAAGTGCAGTTCCACATAAAGGAGCTCTCTATATCTCTCTGGTGAATTGTCCGTGTGTATGATCGTGTAGCATTTAATAGTGTAGTTGGCGAGCCTCTCTGGAGACCACATTACCGAATCCAGAAATCGATAACTGAAGTACTAGTTCGTACCGCTAGGTTCACGGCCGAGAGGTCGATTACAGCAACTTCTACCTAATATACCCCTGCCCAGCAAACCTATAAAGTATTATTTAGAGACCGGGATGTGAATTTCGACTTCAACTGAACTTCTAAATCCACGTAGAGAATCCTGTATCAGTTTCATTATTTTATATTAATTGAGCACAGCGAAGTTAAATGATAAATGTGTGATCAATTAATTATATAGTTAGTAAGTCACGTAGGTATATTTATATTTATTATACATACGTGGGTTTGTACATACATTTATTATACATACGTCGTAAGTAACTTACGAGATGTGAGGGTAAAAACGTACGGGATTTCACGGCGTAGAAAAATATGGCCGCTTATAGGCTTCTCCTGCAAAAGAATCTTCTCGTCCACGTCAATATAAATGCCGCTCTGCTTTTGCCCAAACGTTCAATCAAGAAAATTGCAATCCACTTTGCTTACATTAAAATTACATCCGTACGATAACAACACATTCGTCAAATGCGCATAAATTCGTTCTTGCGCTCTAGCCTTATGCACTAGTCAATTGACACCCCCACCCCCGACCCCCGGGACGGGTGGGGGAATTAACGCAGGGGCGTGTACAGGATTTGTACCAGGGGGGGTCTAACCGTAACACAAACTTGCGAGCACGCGAAGGGGGGGGGTCTGGGGGGCCCTCCCCAAGAATTTTTTTGAAATTAGACCCCTTTAGATGCGTTTTCTGAGCGAGCAGGGGGGGGGGTCCGGACCCCCTGGACCCCCCCCCCCCTGTACACGCTTCTGTAACGGGGATATGCGGGGGATTTAACGCGCATTTCACAGCGTAAATTCCTCGGGGGGCGGGGAATTTAACGCGTACCTTGAATAGCGGAGCATATATAGCGGGGGATTTAACGCTGAACCGTTAAACAAGATAGCGGATATCGTGTGTGTATATATGTGTGTGCGCGTGCGTGCGTGTGTGTGAGTGCGGGCGTGTGTGTGTGGGGGGTGTGTGTGTGTGCCCGCATGTGCTTACGTGCGTGCGTGCATGAGTGCGAGTTATATAGTTAAATAGAAACTTAAAATACCATTGTACGTTGTTATAATTACGTTTACCTGTACATTTGGAATAAAATACATGTAGTGTTATAGCAATATTTTCACGCAGGTATATCTCTAGTATTCGGTATTCGGTAGCAATTTACATGCTCAGATTTTGTGCTTACGCATGCTCTCAGCTGTGAGTACCGTATGCACGTAATAGAATGTTTTTGGCGAAATAAAATTCTTTTTGAATACCACCTAAATCCCTGTTTGCGCGTACGCACGATATTGTGCGTACGAACTCTTTTTGAATCTGGCCCAGCTGGTTCTTAGGCTATAACCTCGGGCCTAGCGCCATAACAATTAATTTATTGCGATGCTCTCACCTCCTCCCTCACACAATAATTACCTTGAGACTGCATATTGTATGCTTTAATACATTTAACTATGATATACAAAGACAAAGTAAAAATTCTCACTTCAGTCACCCTAATAAGTATAAACAGCTTAAACACACAGTTGTTAATGTAAATTCAAAACACTATTAATAATGACATGTAGGAATGAGTCATAGAAATTAAACTATCTATATAGTATTCACTCCAGTTACCGTAATACAATATACAGTGTATAAACTATCAAAATCATTACACTACAATCACCAAACAGCATTTTTACATCGGATTTCTGGTGTTTGAACATCCCAAGAATACTATAGCTTTGAACGTTTTACGCCAAAATCTGAATTACGTTTATCGTCTGAATCGACCAAAACACCGGGGCCATGGGGGTGGGGTTTTAACTATGAAGCTGCCCCCGAGGACCGGGGGAAATGTCTAACTTTAACACTACCTAAACGTTAATTCCCCCGCCCTGTCCCG